TTTTAAGTTCTGCATCTACCTCCAATAAATATTCCAAAATCAAATTGCTCAGAAACCACTATTCACTTATTTATAATTTCTCTTGGCAATCATTTCACAATTTGTTCAGGCACTTTCTTCTTCTAAGTCATTTTTTTTTTTTTAAGATTTTATTTATTTATCTGACAGACAGAGATCACAAGTAGGCAGAGAGGCAGGCAGAGAGAGAGAGAGGGAAGCAGGCTCCCTGCTGAGCAGAGAGCCCAATGCGGGACTCGATCCCAGGACCCTGAGATCATGACCTAAGCCAAAGGCAGCGGCTTAACCCACTGAGCCACCCAGGTGCCCATCTTCTAAGTCATTTAAAAAAAAAAAAAAAACATTGTCAGTCAGTGACATCTAATAACTTTTCATAAATAAATTATTTAAATTAATGGGAAAAACCAGTACTGTATTTGGAGTTAAAGGCACGATGTTATGATTACTACAATATAAAATAAATGATTTCAGATTCTAAGCTTCATCTAAAATTTAAAATGTTATTACCTAAAAAAGCAGAACACTTTAGAAGTCAGATAAATTACTTTAAAAATTATGTAAGAGCTGGGGAAACAAGGGAATGGGCAGTTACTGTTTAATGCGTATCATACAGTTTCAGTTTTGCAAGATGAAGAGTTCTGGAAGTGAATAGTGGTGACATTGCAAAACAATGTAAAAGTACTTAATAACCCTGAACTATACACTTAAAATTGGTTAAGATCATTAAATTTTATGTTATCTGTATTTTAAATAATTAAAAGTTTAAAAGTTATCTAATGCACAGCAAAGGAAACAGTTAACAAAACCAAAAGACAACTGACAGAATGGGAGAAGATATTTGCAAATGACATATCGGATAAAGGGCTAGTGTCCAGAATCTATAAAGAACTTAGCAAACTCAACACCCAAAGAACAAATAATCCAATCAAGAAATGGGCAGAAGACATGAACAGACATTTCTGCAAGGAAGACATCCAGATGGCCAACAGACACATGAAAAAGTGCTCCACATCACTCGGCATCAGGGAAATACAAATCAA